TTGTTGGAAATGTACGTCAAGGTTGAAGACGTTCCCAATAATGAGGGTGTGCATAGTAGGGATAACCCCCAGTCATCGGATGGTTATTCTAAAGTAGTTTTTGCCGGACAGATTCATGATGAAAGAGCTTGCCTTGATAATCTGCCAAGTATGCTGGACGTGGATGCCCTCACATGGGATGATGACGAAATTCGGTCAGCAATGTGGGATGAGTCTAGACCAGCGGTGTTGGCAAAGGGCATGTATTTCCCCGAGAAAGTACCGTGAGATGACGGTAAGGGAGTCAACTACGGAGGTATACAAGGTTGTATGCCATAGAGACTTTATGGGTTGTCACTGGATATTGCGTGCCAGCAAGAAGAAATCAGGGTAGTGGAAGGTGGGTAAATGTATTAGCATCCACAGATGTGAAATGGACACATTAAATGAGAATCATTTCAACTTGGATGTAGACTTGATTTCTCTTGTCTTGATTCCATATTTGGAAGTGTCCACTAGGTTCAAGATTAAAAAATGTATTACAGCCGTCCACCAGGAGTATGGTTGTACTATAACCAAAAGAAAGGCATATCTCGGTCGCAAACGTGCTTTTGAACTTATTTATGGCGACTGAGATAAGTCTTTTTCATTTCTGCCTAGGTACATGGCCGCACTGTAACACTTTAACCCCGGGACTGTTGTTTAATGGAGGCGTGAGCGGAGTTCGGACAGACCCGAATATATTTTTAACTATGTGTTCTGGTCATTTAAACTAGCAATTGATGGTTTTGTGCATTGTCATCCTTTAATTTCCATAGATGGTACTCATGTCTATGGAAAGTATGATATTAAGCTTTTGATTGCAGTTGCAGTAGATGCCAACAGACAAATATTTCCACTAGCTTTTGCCATTTGTGCCAACGAAAGCAAAGAGACGTGGACGCTTTTTTGGAACCACTTGAAGCAGCACGTTGTCAAACATCGTTTAGGTATTTGTCTAATATCCGATCGACATGGTGGTATTTTAAGTTCTGTATGGCATTTTCCTGAATGGCAGGAACCCTATGCATACCATTGTTACTATGTGAGGCACCTGAAGGCCAATTTTCAGAAGAAATATCCTAACAAGGCCTTGTATGATTTAATGTGGATAGCTACAACTGAGCACCAGTAGTGCAAATTCATGAGGTATATGGAAGCGATCCGGCCGTTAGATCCACGAGCCTATACTTGGCCGATGGGACATGAGCTTCACATGTGAACATTGCATGTTGATGGCGGTAGACGATGGGGAGCCCTAACTACAAAAGTGTCGGAGTCATTCAACGGCTTGTTGAAGTCTGCCCGTGGATTTCCTGTCACTGCCATGGTCCGCATGACATTCAAACAGATTGCGGAGAGGTTTGTTGAAAGGCATGGAGCTGCATCAACATTGATGGACAGGGGTGTTCAATTCATGCCAATACCGATGAGAAGATTTGAAAGGTACAGGAGGTGAGCACATTGACATTCATTTTTGTGGTACGATCACGACTGGGGTATTTTTGAAGTTAATTCCGCTATCCGCGGAAACCGAGGGAATAATTTACAGACAGTGAATGAAGCCAGCAGGTTGTGTTCATGTGGGAAATGGACCATTTATCACATGTCGTGCGCACATGCCTTGAAGTGCTTTCAACAAGTTAGTTTAGGGGCAACCAACTATATTGATAGGCAATACAGTGTTGTTGCATACGTAGACACGTATAGTGGGCAGTTGCAGCCATTGGGTGCTGAGCATTATTGGCCGTCGGAACCTTTTAAAATGGTGTGTAACAAGGACTATTTGCGCAAGCTGCAAGTGAAAAAGAGAACGCGTATACAGAACCAAATAGATGTTGGTGACACCGTTTATGCGCGTAAATGTGGCATATGCTCGTAAACAGGACACGACCGTCGTAAATGTCCTTCAGGTGGTGTGCGTGGCGGTGGTAATCCAGTTCCTGGTGCAAGTTCGTCGAATGTACACAACTATCAAGGATACACCTAGTCTTTTGTTTTCGTATTGTTTTTTGTAATACATGTCTGTACTTGTGTATATTGCAATATCTATCAAATAAAATTATGTTCCACAATCTTGTTACATCTTATTTTTTAACATGACCTTTTGAATTGGGTGTTGATATGGTTGTTCAAATATTCAACTTATTGGTGTTAGTAAAGAAGATCAATCTAAAAATTCAAAAAAAAAACCCTATAAAATCAAGACATCCTTTATTATCCTTCTTAAAATTTAATATGTAAAGCGTGGTATAATACTACGTTTTGTGAGTTATCTTGTCGTTTTGAAAAAACCTGAACCGACTGCGAAAAAGCTGTTTCGCTTCAGAAAAATTTAATATGTAAAGCGTGGTATAATACTACATTTTGTGAGTTGTCTTGTCGTTCTGAAAAAAGTTGAACCGACTACGAAAAAACTATTTCGTTTCAGAAAAATTTAATATGTAGAGCGTGGTATAATACTGCATTTTGTGTACTGTCTTGTCGTTCTGAAAAAAGCTAAACCGACTACGAAAAAGCTGTTTCGTTTCAGAAAAATTTAATATGTAATGCGTGGTATAATACTACGTTTTGTGAGTTGTCTTGTCGTTCTGAAAAAAGTTGAACCGACTGCAAAAAAGTTGTTTTATTTCAGAAAAATTTAATATGTAAAGTGTGGTATAATACTACGTTTTGTGTGTTGTCTTGTCGTTCTAAAAAAACTGAATCGACTGCGAAAAAGTTGTTTCGTTTTAGAAAATTTTAATATGTAAAGCGTGGTATAATACTACGTTTTGTGTGTTGTCTTGCCTATAAATAACAGGTGCATTCTAGTTATTTTCGGCGCTTAACAATAACCAATCACAAATATTTCCATAAAACCAAGGTTTCTCTTTACGCTTTAACAAATGTCTCAACAGTCCCTTTATGTCCCAAGGTGCGAGTGCGGTAAAAAATGCATGATGCACGATTGTTGGGAAGAAACTGGACGCCGCTACTGGGCATGTATGAACAAGTTTTATAGGCAGCCCGACAAACCTACATGCAATTTTGAGGTATGGATTGATGATCCCTGTGAGCAGGAATACTACAAAGACAAGTTGTATTTTCTTTATAATTTGTGTACGAGGTACCGGGAAAGAGAGCGCCAATCCAAGCAAGAAGTTGAGGAGTTGAAAGCAAAACTCAAGGAGGTGGAAAGATTGGAAGACCAACTCATGTGGTTGGAGCAGAGAATACTAGGCGGTCGTGACTAAATAATGACATGTACGTGTTGAGCATAGTAGTGTATCTTTATGTTTTCCTTGTCATGTGTTTTCATTAGTTGTACTAAATTAATGTTTTGTTAGGTTTGTTATGTTTATGTTTGTGTTGTACTGTTAAAATAAAATTGTTGTTCAAATTCTGTTAAAATAAAATTGTTGTTCAAATTCTGTTAAAATAAAATTGTTCTTAAAATAGAATTGTTGCCATTATTTACATAATGTAGTATTTACATAAAATACAAACAAAAATAAATCAATGAGTCCCGCAACCTATGTGCTTTAGTGCAGCCGTTGGCTTGAGTCGCATCCCCTGTCGTCCGGGTACAGTATCAAGATCATCATCATTAAGTCGCCTCTTTATGTGAGGATGCACAGCAGCATCGACAATACAGCTGGCAGGATCGGTAGAAGGGACCGTCGGGCCGCCAGCAACCTACAAAACAATTACTAAGCCTAGCATATGAAAATGTATATTAGTAATGTACGTATTAAGTCAAAAATATTTTCTCACCATGGTCTCGTCAGCCTCCTGAGTATAAGTATCCGTGGTGTCCTCATCATCGCATACAGTGGCCTCCGTGATGGGCTGGGATAAAGCCTTAATAAGAAAATTAAAAATTAATTTATGGCAAATCATTAAGGAAAAGAAAACAAATTGAAATTTTACAGTAATACAAACATACCTGCGCCTGTGGTAGATCGGCATCAACCGTCGGAGATGAATAACTCAACCTACGCCTGCCATCTACATGTTGAGTCGGCCGATCCTCAGCTGTAATAGATGGGTCTGAAAAGAACTGGTTTATATATCCGTCGAATGTACCCATGATCAACAATGGATATGACGGGGTGACCTGCGATGCTAGCAGAGACAGCTGAAGGCTGTACGACGGCATGCTGCTGGAAGGCTCGTCTAGCTAAGGGAAATAACCCGGCTGATCATCTTCAAGATCCTCATCAGGTGACTTAACAGGTGGGTCGACAGGTGCCTCAATGCCCCCTTGCTAGGGACCACCTCCTCGCCATTCCCCGTGACCCCATAGGGTACCCCTACCTCATGGGACAGCCCTGCCTCATGGGGTATCCCTAGCTCGTGCCTGACCCCTACCTCGTGGGACAGGCCTACTCCGATGGTGCTCCTCTGGCAGCGTCGTGATCCAACCTCGCGCCTTCTCTGGCTCGCTGCAGGGTCCGGAGAGCCATCTTTTCCACCCGCCGGCCATACTCAACGACTACAACATTGTCGCCATGCTGCTGCGTCTCCTGTCCCAACTGGTAGAACATGTGATGCCCAATAGCCTGCACAACATTTAAAATATTAATTAAATAACACTAATTCACAATTATAAGACTTATCCCACAAAAACATACCAGTGCCTCGTGCTTCCTGACGTATGGTCTGTACCGACCGCCAAGTACATGAATGGGGTTCCCGATCATCAGTCGGGTGTGACGGAGGTACCATGACGTATAGAGCTCAATAGTCGCCTGCTGGATCTGTGAAGGTGGTGGCGGAATCAAGTCCTCTCGCTGGTCCCAAATATGGACATGCGCCTCTAGCCATCCTACAAATTCGTCGTCCACCCTAGAATGATTATCCCGCTGATAATGTGTAGCCACCCATGCAGGATCCCTCGGTATAGTCTGGGGACGGTCAAACTGGCGAAGTACACGCTCTGTGGCATGATGCTCCACCACATCGAGGCGCATCATCGGGACGGAAGTGCTCCAAAGTAGTCAGTCGATCGAGCAATAATCGGGCAGATCAACTAGCAACTCGTCGTTGTATGGCATCCAGATGAACTATCAAATAATAACATAAAAGTGAGTATGCGCAACACAAGTGAATTTATGACAAGTAAGTTTAGGTACATATTTACCTGCCCGGCCACCAGCATATCTAACACATCCCTGATAACGGGGAGATTATGACGATCATCACTGCCTCGGTAGTTCCCACGTCGGAGAACCCACCTCGTAGCTAGAGGGAGAAACGGAGGTGCTACACCCGGCTCTAGTGGTGGTAGAGGTGGCTGCAACGGCAGGATCTGCTCCCAGGACCAAACCTAAGATAAAAGGTTGACATAAAATTTAAGAGTCATTTTGACTATATAGAATTCGAAGCAATGAAAAGAGTATTCGAAAATGTTGTCACCTATAGAAGCGGCAGAAAACCACTTATGTCCACCTGGGTGCCCATGCTAGCCTGGCACATACTCCTGTACAGGTATGCTAGAACAGCAGCACCCCAGGTGTACTGGGGTAACTCAACTAGAAGCTGCAGATGATGCAGAAAGCGCAGACTCACTAAATTTCCCGAAGTGTTCGGGAACAAGACACCCCCAAAAAGAAGGAACATCGCCAACCTCGTGTACCGATCAATATGGAGATCCTCTGTCTCATCGGTAATGTCGGGGTGCAATACCCCCATATGTTGTCTGATAGTTGTCACAGAAATGCAACTGCCCCCTCTAACTACAGCCTCACCTTGTGGTCTAAAACCAGTATACTGGCCCACCAAATCCAAATACTGGGGACGCGTCATAGCTCTCATATACTGGGGCAGTGCAACAGCCAGTCCATCAACACGCAGCCTATACAAAACCTAAACATCCTGAAGCGTGACGGTGGCCTCTCCACTGGGCAGGTGAAAAGTGTGCATCTCTGGTCGCCACCGCTCTATCAACGCCGTGATGAGAGACCAGTCGAGCAGCATCTGCCCAAGCTCAAAAATCCTAAGGAAGCTCGTAGCACGCAGGCGATAGACTATGCGGGCATGGAAAGCTCTCTCCCTCTAAAAGTCCCACAAGTCGTCCAGTCTCCTGGCGCGGAGAGTCTGATCCAATACATGTCCCTCTCATATATAGGCGCACCTATGGTCACCCTATAACACTAATATTTGATCCACGGCTAGTCCAGGATGCACAGGCGGCAAGTCCATGTCGTCTACTGTAATTTAAACAATATTAATTGTGTGTTTGTGTTATAATAAATTAAATAATTAATTATTTAATTGGACAGAGTAATTATCTATGGGTTCCAGGCTCGATATTTGAGGCTCAGTAGCACCAAGCTATCCTTAATTATTATGTGCGTCAATTTTAATATTTTTAAAATTTTGTTAGTTTAATAAATTAAATAATTAATTATTTAATTGGACAGAATAATTATTTATGGGTTCCAGGCTCGATATTTGAGGCCCAGTATCACCAAACTATCCTTAATTCTTTTGTGTGTCAATTTCAATATTTTTAGAATTTTGTTAGTTTATAAATTAAATAATTAATTTTAATTGGACAGGATATACAACTATGAGTTCCACGCTTGATATTTGAGGCCCAGTAGCACCAAGCTATCCTTAATTATTATGTGTGTCAATTTCAATATTTTTAAAATTTTGTTAGTTTAATAAATTAAATAATAATTATTTAATTGGACAGAGTAATTATCTATGGGTTCCAGGCTCGATATTTGAGGCCCAGTAGCACCAAGCTATCCTTAATTATTATGTGTGTCAATTTCTATATTTTTAAAATTTTGTTAGTTTAATAAATTAAATAATTAATTATTTAATCGGATAGAGTAATTATCTATGTGTTCCAGGCTCGATATTTGAGGCCAGTAGAACCAAGCTATCCTTAATTCTTTTGTGTGTCAATTCAATATTTTTAGAATTTTGTTAGTTTATAAATTAAATAATTAATTTTTAATTGGACAAGGTATACACTTATGAGTTCCACGCTCGATATTTGAGGCCCAGTAGCACCAAGCTATCCTTAATTCTTTTGTGTGTCAATTTCAATTTTTTTAGAATTTTGTTAGTTTAAAAATTAAATAACTAATTTTTAATTGGACAAGGTATACAACTATGAGCTCCATGCTCGATATTTAATTTGACAACATATATTAATTTGTTAGTTCTGTAAGTTTATTTTATAAATTAAATAATTAATTTTGTAAAGTGTAATTGGATAGAGTTTGTAGTTAGTACATACTTAAACTACAGAGACTCGACGCTAAAAGGCTCTATATTTTACTACGCTAAAAGGCTCTAAATTCTACTACGCTAAAAGGCTCTATATTTTACTACGCTATAAGGCTCTATATTTTACTACGCTAAAAGGCTCTATATTTTACTACGCTATAAGGCTCTATATTTTACTACGCTAAAAAGCTCTATGTTTTAATACGCTAAAAGGCCACTATTCTTTAAGCAAATAAATAATCTAAACTAAATAAAAACAACAAACATATGAACATAACATTCACGAAATTACATATAAAACAGTAAAAGATATTTATAAACAATTTTATTAACAATAAAAATTATTTCTCAAGTTTTAACTATTTTTTTAAAACACTAATAATTTAATCCGGGTAAAAATAACATACAAATTTAATCGCAAACATAACACAAATCAACGAGGAAACACATTCAAGAAAACAAATATGCATATGCTCTGCGAGTTTCGACATAAACTAAATCGGAATACCTCGATTTATATTTTTTAAATATCGAAAATTTGACTCCGAAAGAAGGAATCCAAGGCTTGGGTTGTATGCGGGACCTACGCTCTTCACTTTTTNTCTATAAAAAAAATTATTTTTTTAGTAAAACGTACTATAATACTGCGTTTTACTTTAACGGCTAACTTTCCGTTAAAGTAAAATGCAGTATTATACTGCATTTTATGTAGAAATATAACTTTTTTAACTGTATAAATATATTTTATGTCCAAAAAGGCATCATTTTAGTTTCAGACTCCTGCTTTTAAGTGCCATCTTTGTGGGGGTGAGTATGTCAACTTTCTTCTTCTATTATTCACCTATCAATTTTTAAATTATTCTATGAAGGGGTTGTGATGATGTTTTATGGCGTGAATTTCTTCTGTATTTTTTATCAATGTTTTTCTTATACTATATAAGTTGAAAAATAGTAGGCTATGGAGTTCTCCTTCTTTTGCTTATTCTCTCTTTTAATTTTGTTTATATTACTTCTTTGCATTCTTTGAATGTTGCATGCATAAAAGAAAATTTGAGATTTCTACCTAAAGATTGAAATTAGGGTTAAAAGAGGAATCATCTGTTATTTCAGACCAAATAATCGAATAGTCTCCAATTGAACATAGGGATTTTTAGAGTTCAAGTGGAATAAACGGGGAAGAACGGCAAAGAAGCTACAAATGTGATCTCCGAGTAGTTCATATTAAGAGATAAGAATGAACTTTTCACATCCTCCTAAAACTGTAAGAATTTTCTTTGGCGATTACTTAATTTTCATATTAATTTTAATTTCGTTATTTATGATTTTAATTATATGAGTTAGTCGATTGGAAAATCATAATACAATTCAAGAGAGTTCTTTTTGATAAAAAGGCTAATGGTCAATTTTATTCCTTCTCTATGTCATTGGCCTTTTTCATTAGGCTTGATTATTGGCTTGAATAACATACAGAAGTGTCTATTATTAGACTTACTGGTGAGTTCTACTTATGCAGTGAAATTTAATTTTCAAATGAGGGATAACTTTTTCCACAAGATGTAATACTCTGAATGACTGCACGCATGTAGTCGCTATGAAAATGAAATTGAGTTTACATTTTGTTTCATATGTGTTTGATTCACTTTGTGAAGTTCCAACCCATAATGAGAAGCTACTAATGAGTAGAAGAGGGTTTTTTTTGCCTTGGGTTCAGTATTAGATTGTGTTCTTAACCTGTGGCCTTGGGATATGGGATTGTTTATAATTTTTGCTACAGCTTTTTTACATGTTTAGTGTCACTGAAATTTATTTATAATAAAAGTTGAGCTCTAAATAGTTTTTCAATCAACCTAATCTAACTTGGATGATATCACAACTCTTAAAGTATAAAAAAGAAGAAATTCAAATATTGTAATTCTTCTTTGGAAACAAATTCTATTTTCATTATTGGTATTGCCAGTCTTTGATTACAGGCAGGCAACAAGAAGGAACTTAAGAGGTTTAGCTGGAGAACCATAAAGGTGTGTGTCTACTTTGTAACTCTTTGTTAGAATTTTGATCTGTACACATGCTCTCTAACTTTTTGAATGGGTTGTAATTTCTTTATTTATTATATACATTGGGAAAATATTTCTCTGCTGCTCCATTGGAGAAATGATTTTTTTGATATTTATGTAATATTATACTTTTCTCTTTTTCACCTAGCGATCTAATAATTTTTCTACGGTAATTATGTCTTAATTGTTCTTCTAATCTTGAGTAGCGAGTGTTTTTGTTAATAAAGAATTTTCTTTAATTGTTGATGAATTAGATTGGCTGATAACTTCCCTAAAGGAAAAGATAAGGTGCATATGGATGTAGCAGTCTATCACTTGGTACTGCACCCTTACAAATATCTCAAAAATGAAAGAATGCAGCTCTTGCTTTACAGATGAGGATTTATAAATATTTAATCGCAATGAAGTTAGCCCATACTTTCCCACTTACAAGGCATTCTGAAATTAACTATGGAGTACTATTTTCTGAGCAAAGGAACTATTAACTGTTGAGTTTCTTTTTAATATAGAAAGGTATTAAAAAGAGGGTGAATGGAAAATGGAGGGAAATGAAAATTTTGAGTAAAATTTTAAGTTTCCCTCTCCTTTTCATGAGACATTGTCCCTCATTGGTAGAGGAAAAGAAGTTTGGTGGGTTTATATACAAATGCACTTCATGTAGCTCTTAAAAAGTTAGGAAAAAGGCAAGCCTCGCGCCGTCGTCGTCGCTCGCTCGGCTCGGCTACGACTTCGGCTTCAGCTTCGGCTTTTGTATCTGACAAGGTTGTAATAAGTAAGAATGAAATGTTTGTAGGAAAAGGTTACCTCACCGAGGGCCTT